ATGAAAACTGGCAAGCAAAAAATGGCAAGTAAAAAAATGGCAAGTATGACACGACTAAGAGAAAACGAATCCTGTACCATTCGATACGTCAGGCCAGCGATCGATGTAGCTCGCCATCAAATCGTCTCAAGACGGACCATAAAGTCTCTCGTCGATTTCATCGTCACATGCTAGAAATGTATTGTTGCTGAGGCGGCTCATGTAATGTGTGAGCTCTTATCTACTGAGTGAAAGGGGGGGGGCAGGTGGGGGTAGGGGTAGAAGTTCCTGGAGGGGGTGGAGAGTTTCGTGGAGGGGGGCGTTCCATATTAGCTCAACACGGTATCAGACTAAATGTGGGACCAACAGCTGCGCATGCGCCAAGTTGGCTAGGTTAAAAAATTGGGTTCAAGTGTTGGCCATTAGAGCTTATCTCTTGAATATCTAACCACCCAACCATCCAACCACTCATCCAACCACTCATCCAACCACTCATCCAACCACTCATCCAACCACTCATCCAACCACCGAACCACCCAACCATCCAACCACTCATCCAACCACTCATCCAACCATCCAACCACTCATCCAACCATTCAACCACTCATCCAACCACTCATCCAACCATCCAACCACTCATCCACTCATCCAACCACTCATCAAACCATCCAACCACTCATCCAACCACCCTTCCAACCATCCAACCACTCATCCAACCACTCATCCAACCACTCATCCAACCACTCATCCAACCATCCAACCACTCATCCAACCACTCATCCAACCACTCATCCAACCACTCATCCAACCACCCAACTAACTAACCACCCAACCAACCACCCACCCAACCACCCACTCAACCAACCACCCACTCAACCAACCACCAAACTAGCTACCCACCACAAACCAACCACCGAACCAACCACCCAACCAACCACACCACCAACCACATCACCAACCACCATTGAACCTCTCAGCCCATTAAGTGTTCTACGGTTGTATTCATCTCATCACGTGCGTCTTTTAAAAAGCACGCGAGTTTTTTGTGGCTATTTTTAGCAGGCTGGATCAACCACTTTAACATCTTTGATACAAGAGGTGTAAGTTTCCAGATGTTTTCGAGATACGCAAGCTCTCTCTCTGTTCAAGGGATACGCAAGTTCTCTAAATGTTCTCGAGATACGCAAGTTCTCTAAATGTTCTCGAGATACGCAAGTTCTCTAAATGTTCTCGAGATACACAAGTTCTCTAAATGTTCTCGAGATACACAAGTTCTCTAAATGTTCTCGAGATACGCAAGTTCTCTCTCTGTTCTCGAGATACGCAAGTTCTCTCATGTCAGAAGCTTACAGTGGTGACACATCACTTGTGAAACACTATTGGTGATACAAGTTGGCATACACCGATGGAAATACAAATGAGTGGTGACACAAGCAAATGGTGGAACAAATTAAATGGTGACACACCCAAATGGTGGAACAAATTAAATGGTGACACACCCAAATGGTGGAACAAACTAAATGGTGACACACCCAAATGGTGGAACAAATTAAATGGTGACACACCCAAATGGTAAGACATACCATAAAGGTGAGTCTTGTAAATCAAACGTTAAACAGGTCGCAAATATCTGGAGATTAATGCGACACTTGTAAGATTATTTGACTTCGATAATCCTACAGCGGCTAACCTACTTCCATGATTGTAAACAGATAATCCCATCTTGTACGTTTTATAAAGTCGACCTTAACCTTGAAACGACCTTGATGTTGTCACTTGCTCACACCACGACACTTTCAGTCCATTAGCCCGGGGGGTGGGGTGGGGGGGGGCGGACCTAGCTAAATCAATGACCAGTGGGGACCGCAGTAGTTGGGGTGGGGGGAGACACAGCTCGCACCAAATGTAAACACCTCCTCAGTGAGCGGGGGGGGGGGGGGGACACACCTCCTCAGTCCTCACGATCCAGACGACCAGACTTGGCGCGAACTTCGCCCGATGCGGGACACACGTGTGTTAAGTCTTGTGTCATTAGAAGACACGTTGCCATTGGTGCTAATCCCTAAGTGACAATGTAACGTTCATTTTCATTGGTCGATTTCACGGGTGCTGGTAGGGCTTTGGACGTATGTGTGACAAATGACAACCCAGTGAACCCGGTGAACCCTACAGCCACATGAACCCGGTGAACCCTACAGTTACGTGAACCCGGTGAACCCTACAGCCACGTGAGCCCGGTGAACCCTAAAGCCACGTGAACCCGGTGAATCCTACAGCTACGTGAACCCGGTGAACCATACACCCACGTAAACCCGGTGAACCCCGCTGTCTGTGACCGTACAAGACGGGTTCACTCTCCGATCACGTGACAACTATAGCCGGCTAACAACGGGAATTCCCGATGTTTAAATAAAGCCACCTCGGCGACCAGATAATCCAGGATTAGATGGGTCCAGATAATCCTGGATTAGATATGTCCAGCTGCATTAGCTTCGCGCGCTCATTAAAATTTGATTAGCACCAGATCACTGAGACACTGGGCGAGTCTAAAGTTGGGGACTGGTAGGGGCCTATATATTTTGTGTCGTATTTTGTTTTGTGTAATAAATTGATACAACATCATCAACAGACCCACCCAACACTTTACAACATCATCAACAGACCCACCCAACACTTTACAACATCATCAACAGACCACGACCCACCCACCACTTTACAACATCATCAATAGACCCACCCAACACTTTACAACATCATCAACAGACCCACCCAACACTTTACAACACCATCAACAGAACCACCCAACACTTTACAACATCATCAACAGACCACGACCCACCCACCACTTTACAACATCATCAATAGACCCACCCAACACTTTACAACATCATCAACAGACCCACCCAACACTTTACAACACCATCAACAGAACCACCCAACACTTTACAACATCATCAACAGACCCACCTAACACTTTACAACATCATCAACAGAACCACCCAACACTTTACAACATCATCAACAGAACCACCCAACACTTTACAACATCAGCAACAGAACCACCCAACACTTTACAACATCATCAACAGACCCACCTAACACTTTACAACATCAGCAACAGACCCACCCAACACTTTACAACATCATCAACAGAACCACCCAACACTTTACAACATCATCAACAGACCCACTCAACACTTTACAACATCATCAACAGACCCACCCAACACTTTACAACATCATCAACAGAACCACCCAACACTTTACAACATCATCAACAGACCCACCCAACACTTTACAACATCATCAACAGAACCACCCACCACTTTACAACATCATCAACAGACCCACCCACCCAACACTTTACAACATCATCAACAGACCCACCCACCCAACACTTTACAACATCATCAACAGACCCACCCACCACTTTACAACATCATCAACAGACCCACCCAACACTTTACAACATCATCAACAGACCACGACCCACCCAACACTTTACAACATCATCAACAGAACCACCCAACACTTTACAACATCAGCAACAGACCCACCCAACACTTAACAACATCATCAACAGAACCACCCAACACTTTACAACATCATCAACAGAACCACCCAACACTTTACAACATCATCAACAGACCCACCCAACACTTTACAACATCATCAACAGACCCACCCAACACTTTACAACATCATCAACAGAACCACCCAACACTTTACAACATCATCAACAGAACCACCCAACACTTTACAACATCATCAACAGACCCACCCAACACTTTACAACATCATCAACAGACCCACCCAACACTTTACAACATCATCAACAGACCCACCCAACACTTTACAACATCATCAACAGACCCACCCACCACTTTACAACATCATCAACAGAACCACCCAACACTTTACAACATCAGCAACAGACCACGTCCCACACACCACTTTACAACATCATCAACAGAACCACCCAACACTTTACAACATCAGCAACAGACCACGTCCCACACACCACTTTACAACATCATCAACAGACCCACCCAACACTTAACAACATCATCAACAGAACCACCCAACACTTTACAACATCAGCAACAGACCACGTCCCACACACCACTTTACAACATCATCAACAGACCCATCCACCACTTTACAACATCATCAACAGACCCACCCAACACTTTACAACATCATCAACAGACCCACCCAACACTTTACAACATCATCAACAGAACCACCCAACACTTACAACATCATCAACAGACCACGACCCACCCAACACTTTACAACATCACCAACAGACCCACCCAACACTTTACAACACCATCAACAGAACCACCCAACACTTTACAACATCATCAACAGACCCACCCAACACTTTACAACATCATCAACAGACCCACCCAACACAACATCATCAACAGACCCACCCAACACTTTACAACATCATCAACAGACCCACCCACCACTTTACAACACCATCAACAGAACCACCCAACACTTTACAACATCACCAACAGACCCACCCAACACTTTACAACATCATCAACAGACCCACCCACCACTTTACAACACCATCAACAGAACCACCCAACACTTTACAACATCATCAACAGAACCACCCAACACTTTACAACATCATCAACAGAACCACCCAACACTTTACAACATCATCAACAGAACCACCCACCACTTTACAACATCATCAACAGAACCACCCAACACTTTACAACATCATCAACAGAACCACCCACCACTTTACAACATCATCAACAGAACCACCCACCACTTTACAACATCATCAACAGAACCACCCACCACTTTACAACATCATCAACAGAACCACCCAACACTTTACAACATCATCAACAGAACCACCCAACACTTTACAACACCATCAACAGACCACGTCCCATCCACCCACAATACAAACACAATGCAGGGATCTCATTCCAGGCTTCTTTGATTCAAGATTTAATTAAAGACTTTAATTAAAAAATTTAATTACTTACCTTTGTAAGTACTGCGGTTGTCGTGTTTCCAGAACTTCTTGTAACCCATATATCCAATTATCCAGATCCCAAGTAAAAGTATCCATGTAATCCATGTATCCTGTATCCATGAGGTATCCAACTTTAAGGGATGATATCCATCATTGGAGTATCTCTGTGGATAGATGAAGGGGTTTAGTTTATATACGGTTACGTTTATATAGGGGGTTTAATTTATATGGGTGTTCTAGTCAAATGTTGCTTTAGTATATACTGTTTATAAGGAGAGGGGGGTGGGGGAGGTTTGTTACTATTAATAGTTTGTGTCTGGCTTTTCTGTCGTATTTTTCGTTGATTTTTTTTTTACTGACTAAGGGACGAAGAACAAGAACCAGCTAAGGTAGATAAGACAGGCTTGTCGATACAACAGTTGTTCCCCCTGCACGCTCCAGTAAATTACACGGCTAGTCTCCCCTTGCCCGTGGCAGAAAGTTTTTTTTCGGTGATTTCCCTTGTCGTAGTTTTTTTTGTATGTAGGATGTCTTGTGTACTGCTTCAATCATTCAGATGTTTTAAACTGTCGTTGTTTACATCAAACTATTTGTATACTGCTTCAATCATTCAGATGTTTTAAACTGCCGTTGTTTACATCAAACTATTTGTATACTGCTTCAATCATTCAGATGCTTTAAACTGTCGTTGTTTACATCAAACTATTTGTATACTGCTTCAATCATTCAGATGTTTTAAACTGTCGTTGTTTACATCAAACTATTTGTATACTGCTTCAATCATTCAGATGTTTTAAACTGTCGTTGTTTACATCAAACTATTTGTATACTGCTTCAATCATTCAGATGTTTTAAACTGTCGTTGTTTACATCAAACTATTTGTATACTGCTTCAATCATTCAGATGTTTTAAACTGTCGTTGTTTACATCAAACTATTTGTATACTGCTTCAATCATTCAGATGTTTTAAACTGTCGTTGTTTACATCAAACTATTTGTATACTGCTTCAATCATTCAGATGTTTTAAACTGTCGTTGTTTACATCAAACTATTTGTATACTGCTTCAATCATTCAGATGTTTTAAACTGTCGTTGTTTACATCAAACTATTTGTATACTGCTTCAATCATTCAGATGTTTTAAACTGTCATTGTTTACATCAAACTATGTGTGTACTGCTTCAATCATTCACTTTAAAAACTGGGTTTCTTAATGTGGATGGGGCGGGGATGGACGGGGTGGGGGTGTACGAGGCGGGAGTACCAGTTTAAATATTACAATTATACTAAGCGGCAGCCAAGTTGAAAGATTGACTTGGAATTCTGATTGGCTGGTGATGAAAACTATGACATCACCCCCCCCCCCCCAACACCCCCACCACTTCGACACCCTTTACTTCTAACAGTAATCTTTCCTGTTTTCTTTTTTTTTTCGTAATTAATTTGATTGTGAAATTTGTATGTAAATGTCTCCCCCAATTTTAAGTCAAAGTTGCTACTTAATTTAGAATCTTTCAAATTGTGTTTTTATTTCCTCCATATTGAAGACATGTTCTTGACTCATCCAATCACCAATTAATACTTCATTATTTTACTAATTATGTTATTAGAACTCACCAAATGGACTTTTACAGTAGTTACCAATCCAAGGGACGTAACAATGAAATCAAACATCAACCCATGTTCGGCGCGGTCACTTCCCTTGATACCCGCTTCTACTCGCACGGTGAACGTCTCTGGGTCGCCACTTTCGTGAAGCTCCAAAAATACCTGAGGGAAAACAAACTTTTAATGAAAACAATTTAAAAATTAACACACAGCTTTATCTGGTCAGATCAGTGTTTCTTTCAGACTTTTTTCTCCGTGGGGGGCGGGGGAGGCGGACACTGATCAAAATATATATTTTCTATATAAATTATATTTCGTTTTGGGGGGGGGGGGGGGTTGGGGGCGGTAGATGAACTTCGAGGAGGGGGGGAATGCCTGAAAGAAACTCTGGATCAGATCCAGGGACAAATGACCTTGACCTCATAGTACCAATTAGATCTCTGTAGATGTACGTGTACCCTAAAGTTAACTTACTTCGCCTTTAATATCCTGATGAAAAAAAATGATTTAATATATTTAAATATATTTAATATATGCAGTAGCCACTAGATTATGTTTAAATTAAGTTCATGAATCAGACCTTCTGATGGGGACAGGGTTAAGACTTGTCTGGTTTAGGTGATGAAAGGAATTCGGCTCTTGATCGTATCGGGCCTATTATTTTTCATTTTATATTTTTAAAAAATGAACCCTACCCATTTCCACATACACAAACAGCCCCTCACCCACCCTTAAAATGTCAACACCCCCCCCCCCCCCCCCCCCCCCCCCCGTCATCTCAATTAAAGTAAAACATTCGCCTTCTCCCGGCTCATAAAATACGAGGCTAGTTCTAACTAGAGAATATGCGGATGCGAAAAGATTAAAAAACGAGATCTATGTCTGTACTTCTGATGAAATCTGTTCGTGTATGGTGAAATATGTGAGCCTGACTCTACTTCCTCTACCCCTGGTTTTTTTTTTTCGAAAACACATTTTCACGCGCTTGTGTAATTTTAAATGGGAGATGATCTCAGTCAAAGTAAGGTCCCCCACCTTCACCCCACGCAAAACTTCACCCCCTCCCACCTCCACACACCCCCAACTTAACCCCCCCCCCCCACCTTCACCCCACCCCCACCTTCACCCTCCCCCCCCCCAAACCCAGCCACCACCTTCACCCCACCCCCACCCCCATCCTCATCTCTTCCTGCCGCCCACCACATTTCGCCTGAAGATATCTTCACCTTTACTTTGAGCTGATTAATTAACATAATTATCACGTGACAATCACAGAGGTCACGGGTTAAAGGTTAGAGTCGATTCAAATCTTTAAATCATTGATCCAAAAATGAATATTTGGACATCCAATATAACAAGATGACATTTGAACATATATATATATATATATATATATATATATATATATATATATATATATATATATATATATATATATATATATATATATATATATATATATATATATATATATATATATATATATATATATATATATATATATATATATATATATATATATATATATATATAATAGAAAAAAATTCTTATTGACATCCAATATAACAAGATGACATGGGTTATGTGCCACTGTATTTAAATTGGTGTAAGAAATGCGTATAGTAAAAAACTCGATTTGATCAGCCTTGTGTAATTTTTTTAAAGTGCTCGTACTAAAATCTAAATTGATGATCAGAAAACTCAATATTGATCATTTTCAAACTAAATTTTCATTTAGTTTATGCTTGTGTTTTTGTGCGTGTTTGCGTTGTGTTTGCAAATGTGTTTGCGTTTGTGTTTTAGTTTTGGTTGGTTGTGGTTAGGGTTAGGGTTAAGTTTAGAGTTAGAGCTAGGTTTATGGTTATGTGTTGTTTTTTTTAGACGTCAATATTTTGCCATAAAAACGTTTAGTTGGAAAAATAATACATTTTCTAAATCCGGGTGGGTACATGCAGCTTAATAAACACATAAGTCACTGTCCTTTACAGGTAGGTTTTCACAAATGCCAGTGCAGGGCCTGGCCGGGACGGCTAGTGCAATTATAAAAATTAGGTCAACAAATACATTTTCATGACTTAAACTGACTTCTATTTTTTCAATATCGATCGTATATTGTCTGACATAAAACACTTTGACAACAAAACCCCCACAACTATACAACCCCACCACTATACGACCCCACCACTATACAACCCCACCACTATACAACCCCACCACTATACGACCCCACCACTATACGACCCCACCACTATACAACCCCACCACTATACGACCCCACCACTATACGACCCCACCACTGTATGACCCCACTAGTATATGACCCCACCACTATACGACCCCACCACTATACGACCCCACCACTATACGACCCCACCACTATACGACCCCACCACTATACGACCCCACCACTATACGACCCCACCACTATACAACCCCACCACTGTATGACCCCACTAGTATATGACCCCACCACTGTACGACCCCATCACTGTACGACCCCACCACTGTACGACCCCACCACTGTATGACCCCACTAGTATATGACCCCACCACTGTACGACCCCATCACTGTACGACCCCACCACTGTACGACCCCACCACTAAATGACCCCACCACACCACATGTCCACACAACCACACCACCACATGTCCACACAACCACACCACCACATGTCCACACAACCATACCACCACATGTCCACACAACCACACCAACACATGTCCACACAACCACACCACCACATGTCCACACAACCACACCACATGTCCACACAACCACACCGCCACATGTCCACACAACCACCACACCACATGCCCACACCTCCACACCACCACATGTCCACACAACCACACACCACCTCATCCCATGTCAACCCGCCCGCAACCCCACAGGTCACAGCGACCCAAAGGTCAACACGACCTGGCCATTTGCATATCACGCACCAACTCCACATAACTTAAGACGTCCTTCTCTCCCCTCCCCCTACGATATAAACAAACTGTTCTGCCCTGTGTTCGTGTCGCGCAGTTTAGAACCCTGAACCCTGACATGAGGGATGACAAGATAGAACCCTGAACCCTGACATGAGAGATGACAAGAAACCAAATGTCATCCAGAGATTGTTGATGAAAAATGTGGCGCTACAGTTTTACTTGGTCCATTTTTTTTTTATTCTAAGGGGAAATCTAGCTATACGTACGCGGCAATCTAGCTATACGTACGCGGCAATCTAGCTATACGTACGCGGCAATCTAGCTATACGTACGCGGCAATCTAGCTATACGTACGCGGCAATCTAGCTATCAATAAACTTTAAAGAGTTGTAAATCTTATATCAAACGTTCACAAAGAGAGGTAAATCTTATATCAAACGTTCACAAAGAAAGGTAAATCTTATATCAAACGTTAACAAAGAGAGGTAAATCTTATATCAAACGTTCACAAAGAGAGGTAAATCTGACATCAAACGTTCAAAAAGAGAGGTAAATCTGACATCAAACGTTCACAAAGAGAGGTAAATCTTATATCAAACGTTCACAAAGAGAGGTAAATCTTATATCAAACGTTCACAAAGAGAGGTAAATCTTATATCAAACGTTCACAAAGAGAGGTAAATCTTATATCAAACGTTCACAAAGAGAGGTAAATCTTATATCAAACGTTCACAAAGAGAGGTAAATCTTATATCAAACGTTCACAAAGAGAGGTAAATCTTATATCAAACGTTCACAAAGAGAGGTAAATCTTATATCAAACGTTCACAAAGAGAGGTAAATCTGACATCAAACGTTCACAAAGAGAGGTAAATCTGACATCAAACGTTCACAAAGAGAGGTAAATCTTATATCAAACGTTCACAAAGAGAGGTAAATCTTATATCAAACGTTCACAAAGAGAGGTAAATCTTATATCAAACGTTCACAAAGAGAGGTAAATCTGACATCAAACGTTCACAAAGAGAGGTAAATCTGACATCAAACGTTCACAAAGAGAGGTAAATCTGACATCAAACGTTCACAAAGAGAGGTAAATCTTATATCAAACGTTCACAAAGAGAGGTAAATCTTATATCAAACGTTCACAAAGAGAGGTAAATCTGACATCAAACGTTCCCAAAGAGAGGTAAATCTGAGCACACAGTCAACATGAGGCGAAGCGCTATCAGATCAATCAGAACAAAATGAAAAGTTGTATTGGTCTGACTATCGAAGCTTTATTTAATCTTCGATTGGACAATATTGATCGATTTCCAATACGTATTGCCGATTGACGCACACACACACACACACTTCTAATGATAAGGGTGGTTAAAATGCACTTTAAATGAGTGCGAAAAGATTTCTTACACTAGTTAAGTGCAGTTGAAGCTGCTACGACCATAATAACAAAAGATTAGCTGGCCCTAAAGTACAACTTAATTACTCGAGAAAGTTACATTGCTTACATATATACCGACATTGCTTACAGATGTAACGACACAAGAAAGCGAAATAGTTTACAGATGTAACTACTTTGCATACAGATGTAGTGAATCCTATAGATAGACAATGAAAATGTAATGTGTTCTATGTGGCCGTATAAGACAACACATCAACAGAAGACGAGGCAGGCGAAGAAATAAAAACGTGTCCGACTCTCCACGCCTTGAAGTAACATGGCTTTTTAAGTCGAGACATTTTGCTGTGACTTTTTTTTTTTGGAATGTTTAACGAAGTTTTAGCAGAATCTCAATCATTCAACGTTTGATTTAAAATCTACTTACAAGATAATTTTAAATGACTTAATTGGACATGGGACTATTTTTTTAATGTGTTGTAACTATATGGGTGAGTGGGGTTGTGGGTGGGGGGAGGGGGGGTTGCTGTAGGTACAATGAGAGCGGGTTTATCGCTGCATGTTGACCTTAGGTTTGGTGAGGAGAGGGGAGGGGGACGTTGGTTTGACCAGGGGAGGTAATAGGTTGTCGAACTATTGACGCAAGGGCGGTAATCTGTTTGTTGACAACTGTTTGCCCTCAACGTCTACAAACACGCCAGCGAGTCGTTAAAAATTTTCGATTTTCATAACTCCGTTAACTAGTCTAGTCTGGCCTTCTGGGCTACCTGCACACCCCCACCCCCATCCCCCTATAATTACAGAGCCTTAAAGTGTTCGTATGTGCCCTACCCCAGCCTTTACCCCGCCCCCGCCTGTACCCTACCACCCCCTCCTCTGCCCTACCACTCCCGCCCCATACCCTACCACCCCCGCCCCATACCCTACCACCCCGCCCCATACCCTACCACCCCCGCCTGTACCCTACCACCCCCGCCTGTACCCTACCACCCCTGCCCCATACCCTACCACCCCTGCCCCATACCCTACCACCCCCGCCTGTACCCTACCACCCCCGCCTGTACCCTACCACCCCCGCCTGTACCCTACCACCCCCCGCCCCATACCCTACCACCCCCGCCTGTACCCTACCACCCCCGCCCCATACCCTACCACCCCGGCATGTGTACGACGAAGCCTCCCCCGAGTCGACCAACCTCAGCAGATCCTTTTCACAGTACCCCCCCCCCGCCACACCATCACCACACCATCACCACACCATCACCACACCATCACCACACCACCACCACACCATCATCACACCATCACCACACCATCACCACACCATCACCACACCATCACCACACCATCACCACACCATCACCACACCATCACCACACCACCACCACACCATCATCACACCATCACCACACCATCACCACACCATCACCACACCATCACCACACCATCACCACACCATCACCACACCACCACCACACCATCATCACACCATCACCACACCATCACCACACCACCACCACACCACCACCACACCATCACCACACCATCACCACACCATCACCACAACATCACCACACCATCACCACACCATCACCACACTATCACCACACCATCACCACACCATCACCACACCATCACCACACCACACCATCACCACACCATCTCCACACCACACCATCACCACACCATCACCACACCACCCAGCCGCCTAACACTAGGTCGCCTGTACCAAATCTCTGGTTGACATGACAAGTGGCCAGCACACAGCACTGACCATCTTCTGGTGTCATACTAAATGTCAGGGTTTAGTGTGTCAGGGTTTGGTGTGTCAGGGTTTGGTGTGTCAGGGTTTGGTGTGTCAGGGTTTGGTGTGTCAGGGTTTGGGGTGTCAGGGTTTGGTGTGTCAGGGTTTAGTGTGTCAGGGTTTGGTGTGTCAGGGTTTGGGGTGTCAGGGTTTGGTGTGTCAGGGTTTGGTGTGTCAGGGTTTGGTGTGTCAGGGTTTGGTGTGTCAGGGTTTGGGGTGTCAGGGTTTGGGGTGTCAGGGTAATTCGTAGAAAAAATGATACAATTAAAGTTACATGTGTATTTGCATAGAATTTACTTAAACTGTTACGTAATACGTATTCAGAAAGAACAAAAAAACCTAATATAAATTATATTAATTTCGATATTTAGGTAGGTGTGAATAAGTCGTATTATTATGGTTAACTTTAGAACGCACGTTAAAAAATAACAGCCGACACGGTACATCGGCTGACATTGACACAAATACCGGGTGGACAGACAACTGAGGAAAGGCCAACGTCATCCAGATTAAACACAATGATTGAAATAGAGGACGGCTAATCCAGATTAAACACAATGATTGAAATAGAGGACGGCTAATCCAGATTAAACACAATGATTGAAATAGAGGACGGCTAATCCAGATTAAACACAATGATTGAAATAGAGGACGGCTAATCCAGATTAAACGCAATGATTGAAATAGAGGACGGCTAATCCAGATTAAATACAAAGATTGACATAGAGGACGGCTAATCCAGATTAAACACCAGCTATTCAGATATTTTTACTTGTTGGGAACAGGGCTGGAAGATTATTCGAGAAAATTCTAACGCATTTCAAGTTTATAAATAGATTAAATTTAAAAAAAAAAACATGTAGGCCTACTGACGCGAATGATTTTAGAATTATCAACAACTAAATAATTTTGCTCAATTTTTTTACTTTTTTTCTGCGACTTTTTTCTATGACTTTTTTTTAGCGCTCACCGTGAAGGTTAGGGTTTGGTTTAGTTGTTTTTTAAATCTGTTTGTGTTTATTGTAAACAACTTGATGTTGGAATGTTTAACAAAGTTTTAGAATCTCAATCATTCAACGTTTCAGTTACAATCTACTTACAAGATAATTTTAAATGACTTCATGGACGATTTCTATTTTTTTTGTCGTCATACGAGCTACCCTAGCCAGACACAATTTAGCCCAACACTAAAGTCATACTGTGCCAGGCTTAGGTTGTACACTTCACTTTAGTAGGTACAAATGTCAATGGGTACCAATGTCAGTTGGTATATCTAACACATTGGCCACAATCATGGTATATCTAACACAAGTGTCACAATCATGGTATATCTAATACATGGACTACAATCATGGCATATCTAACACAAGTGTCACAATCATGGTATATCTAATACATGGACTACAATCATGGTATATCTAACACAAGTGTCACAATCATGGTATATCTAATACATGGACCACAATCATGGTATATCTAACACAAGTGTCACAATCATGGTATATCTAATACATGGACTACAATCATGGTATATCTAACACACGTGTCACAATCATGGTATATCTAACACAAGTGTCACAATCATGGTATATCTAATACATGGACTACAATCATGGTATATCTAACACAAGTGTCACAATCATGGTATATCTAATACATGGACTACAATCATGGTATATCTAACACAAGTGTCACAATCATGGTATATCTAACACACGTGTCACAATCATGGTATATCTAACACAAGTGTCACAATCATGGTATATCTAATACATGGACTACAATCATGGTATATCTAACACAAGTGTCACAATCATGGTATATCTAATACATGGACTACAATCATGGTATATCTAACACAAGTGTCACAATCATGGTATATCTAACACACGTTTCACAATCATGGTATATCTAACACAAGTGTCACAATCATGGTATATCTAATACATGGACTACAATCATGGTATATCTAACACAAGTGTCACAATCATGGTATATCTAATACATGGACTACAATCATGGTATATCTAACACAAGTGTCACAATAATGGTATATCTAATACATGGACCACAATCATGGTATATCTAACATCAGGGCCAGAAATTACAATCATGGTATACCTAACGCAAGTGCCACAATCCTAATTAAATTAATTAGGTTTGTGTTGGGGGGGGGGGGTATACGAAAGTTAGGTGGCCAAAATTATTCCCATCCAGAAACTCCCAGCCTTTCGCCAATATTCTATTCAAAACATTAAACTTATGAGCATAATTTTTGTCAACGTTAGTCCTATCATCTGGTCAATGTTTGTCTCACCATCGTGTCACCATCTGGTTAATGTTTGTCTCACCATTGTGTCACCATCTGATGTTTGTCTCACCATTGTGTCACTATCTGATAAATGTTTGTGTCACCATCTGATCAATGTTTGTATCACCATTATGTCACCATCTGATCAATGTTTGTCTCACCATCGTGTCACCATCTGGTTAATGTTTGTCTCACCATTGTGTCACCATCTGATGTTTGTCTCACCATTGTGTCACTATCTGATAAATGTTTGTGTCACCATCTGATCAATGTTTGTATCACCATTATGTCACCATCTGATCAATGTTTGTATCACCATCGTGTCACCATATGGTCAATGTCCCCATCTGTAGGCCTTACCACCTCCCCTCCCACCCCCCACCATCCACTGTACCAACAAACACCTCCCCTCCCACCCCCCACCATCCACTGTACCTACAAACACCTCCCTTATTTGCACACATTGTTTCTATTTCTGTACTGGCATCGACTGTGTACAACAATACATTCAATGATTGTGGGATTGATATACCGTGTGATTGTGTGATTGTAGAAATTATATGGGGCTATTAAAAACTAAATTGATCTAACCAATGATTGTATGATTGTGTGATTGTAGAAATTATATGGGGTTATTAAAAACTAAATGGATCTAATCAATGATTGCATGATTGTGTGATTGTAGAAATTGTATGGGTCAATTGAAAACTAAATGCATCCAACCAATGATTGTGTGATTGTGTGATTGTATAGATTGTATGGGGCTAATGAAATCTAAATGGATCGAATCAAACAACGATCAATCACGCGGTTTTATTAACCGTTAATCCGACGAGTGACTTTTAACAGGTGACTTAACGGATGACTTATAACAGGTGACTTAACGGATGACTTAACGGATGACTGTAAAGAATGACTTAACGGATGACTTAACGGATGATTGTAAAGAATGACTTAACGGATGACTTAACGGATGACTTAACGGATGACTGTAAAGAATGACTGAGCAACTCACTGGCAGATCGTGTAGGATATCCACATTTATCATGACGTCAGAGCTTGGGATGATCACATCCTTCTCAAAGACGGTGAAACCTATGACGTCATGATCAGTGCTGCCAAACTCACCACGACCCAACGGCCAGTGGGTTGAGTTCAAACCTTCAGGGTGTGACATCTTCCTTGTGTCACCACCGCCAGGGTGAGACATGTGCCTTGTGTCACCACCCCCAGGGTGAGACATCTGTCTTGTGTCACCACCACCAGGGTGAGACATCTGCCTTGTGTCACCACCCCCAGGGTGAGACATCTGTCTTGTGTCACCACCGCCAGGGTGAGACATGTGCCTTGTGTCACCATCTCGGCCTGCCACAAATAAACAAACGCCATCTGAAGCAGCTAATCCTGTGGTCATGTGACTCCCGTCAAAAGAAACACAACTGATGAAACTTTGCACCAACAAACACAAACTTAACGTCCACATGGTCAAAAGATTGTCTTCACAAACTTCCAGAAATAAAATCAATTCACGGGGCTGTAGATTCCTTCAAGCACGTCATTGTGAAACTCCGACATGCTTTAGAAAACTCGAGGCAAAACAGACAAGCCACAGGTTCCTCCTGTGTGTAGTGTGTACCAGCCTACCATCCCCCTACAGCACGGGACCGCCTTCACTGTCACAAACTTCTTTTCAAATTCTCAAACTTATTTCTCGTCTGCGGCTGGTCTCGGCACATATCACAGCCCGTCACCCGTCCCCCACTTTCCCCCGCCGGCCCGACCCACCCACCAACACACACACACACACGCACTGTCCCCCACCGCACCCACACACACACACGCAGTGCTAACTGGGCTAGGTAACTGAATCTGGCGTGCCTGTTAGGTCGTGTCGTAGCCAGGACAGTAACACAGTTGTGCCCTAATGGTGTCTGTTTTACTTAGCGTGTAAACTTTCGGCCGCCTTCACCACTTGTTGTTTACGTAAGTTCAACTTTTTAGCCTCGTTTTGACTTTTCTTCCAACTTTGTTTCATCTTTTGTAAATTCTATTATGTATTCATTAACAGAAATTAAAAATAGATTGTAATGTTGCTGTAGGAATTGTGAAATTCATTAACTGTGGCTAATTAATATGCCTACAGCTCGATCTAAGTCAAGTTTGTTGAATGTGGGATGGGTGGGACATGTGACTTTATGGAAGCTTGTTGTCGTGTGGAGAGGCCAAGATACCATAGAGCTCTTGGCAATTCAACGATTTCACTAGATCTAATTCTAGGCAAATTCTATTCAATTATTTCACAAGATCTAGCATCTAGGCAAATTCTATTCAATTATTTCACAAGATCTAGCATCTAGGAAAATTGTATTCAATTATTTGACAAGATCTAGGATCTAGGCAAATTATATTCAATAATTTCACAATATCTACCATCTTGGCGAATCTATTCAACGATGTCACAGGACTTAGCATTTCACATAATGCTAAAAACAATTATGGGCCTGCACAATTTTTACTTTGTGTAGTTGGTGTGTGTGGGGGGGGGGGGGGGTGATAGTAAACTGGTCTCGATGTTTACACAACCATTACGTCGTGTGATCACTCTAGAACAGTCTAGAACAACGCTGGTATCTCATAGACGTAGCACTAGTCAGGTCCGTTAGTTGTTGTAAAGTGTAGGGGTGGTGAGTGGTACAACAGTGAGTGGTAGCAACAAACTACAACAAGAAACCTACAACAATAACAAAACTACAACAAACCTTCAACAAAGCTACAAACAGAATATAAACAAGAAGTTTTTATTTGGGCTTTAGTTCGACCCACCATTCAAGTCAACTCGTTTAGATTTGGTCACCCAGTGTTCTATACTTGGTCTGTACACCTACTTGTATACTTGGCTCTAAACATAAGTCACGTGCCAATGTTACATACTTGGCTGAATAATTCTTTCACTGTTTAACACTTGGCTCTATACTTCCTTACTTGGTCTATATTTGACTCTATATGTCTGCCAGTGTTACATACTTTGTCTATACTTCTGTCAATGTTTCATGCTTGTACATCCATCGTCTAGTGTTACCCCTCCCCGTCTTGTATGGCTCCTACCCCGTCTTGTGTGGCTCCTCCCCCGTCTTGTGATGCCCCTCCCCCGTCTTGTGATGCCCCTCCCCCGTCTTGTGATGCCCCCTCCCCCGTCATGTGATGCCCCCCCCCCGTCTCGTGATGCCCCTCCCCCGTCTTGTGTGGCTCCTCCCCCGTCTTGTGATGCCCCTCCCCCGTCTTGTGTGGCTCCTCCCCCGTCTTGTGATGCTCCTACCCAGTCTTGTGATGCCCCCCCGTCTCGTGATGTCCCTCCCCCGTCTTGTGATGCCCCTCCCCCGTCTTGTGTGGCTCCTCCCCCGTCTCGTGATGCCCCTGCCCCGTCTCGTGATGCCCCTACCCCGTCTTGTTTGCCCCTCCTCGAGCAGTTGCCCCTCCCCTATCTACGCCACTGCCCACGTTCCCCAGAACAGACAGACAGACAGACTGTAGACTGGAATGTGCTTGAGTTATTACAGAAGTCACTGTCTGGTTAAACAGAGCCGTATCAATAACCAAGGGAAGTAATTCTACACCAACAAGGGAAGTAATTCTGCACCGACACGTGACATGAGCAACGTTTAAGTTTCACAATGTGTGCCCTATGCCAAACGTCCCAGCCACACAAGCTATGCTTGAGTTACAGGGTGCATACCTTACGTTAGCTTCTGACAGGGCTGTACCTATAGCACAGCCTAGCCCATGCCTCTTGGTTGCAAGAGACCACGCCCAATTTCTGCCCGAGACCACGCCTATCGTCTATCAGAGACCATGCCGGATTTCTGCTAGAGACCACGCCTATTGTCTCTCATAGACCACGCCTATTGTCTGTCATAGACCACGCCCATCGTCTGCTAGAGACCACGCCTTCTTGTCATAAAGGCAAGCTGGCAACATCCCAGCCAATCAAATATCGAGTGTAGACAAGTGGGGCGTGACGTTTCCGCTGTTTTACTTGTTGAAATCCCCACCTGACTGGGGCACACCCCCCCCCCCCCCACACACACACAAACACCACAAAAAAAAGTTTGAAATCTCCCTAAACAAACAGGGCAAATGAACTGGGTAAACAGGCATAGGTTAGGGTTACAACACAAACAAGACAATTCAACATGTCCAATGGTTTTTGTATTCAACCAATCTTTGTGTTTGTGTAAGGTGTGGCGATGACCCGCGGGTAGGGGGGGGGGGGAGGAGGGGGGGGGGAGGGGCGCAATCGATCTTTACAGAGGATGAGTTAAGTGATGTAAGTATTATAAGCTTTGTTTAAATTTTCACCCTCCCCCTCCCTCTTTAAATAAAACCATAGGTCCATGGTTTCATACCCCCCCCCCCCCAGCAAATAAAACCATAAGTCCATGGTTTCATACCCCCCCCCCCAGCAAATAAAACCATAGGTCCATGGTTTCATACCCCCCCCCCCCCCCCCCAGCAAATAAAACCATAGGTCCATGGTTTCATACCCCCCCCCCCAGCAAATAAAACCATAGGTCCATGGTTTCATACCCCCCCCCCCCAGCAAATAACACCATCAGCTGCATATAGCGGCTATTTCTGTTGTTTCATCTCGGTGGAGCTTAGACAACATTGACACAGTGGAGTATAGACAACATTGACACAGTGGAGTATAGACAACATTGACACAGTGGAGTATAGACAACATTGACACAGTGGAGCATAGACAACATTGACACAGTGGAGCATAGACAACATTGACACAGTGGAGTATAGACAACATTGACACAGTGGAGCATAGACAACATTGACACAGTGGAGTATAGACAACATTGACACAGTGGAGTATAGACAATATCCACTTGGTGGAGCATAGACAACATCCACTTGGTGGAGCATAGACAACATTGACACAGTGGAGCATAGACAACATTGACACAGTGGAGTATAGACAACATTGACACAGTGGAGCATAGACAACATTGACACAGTGGAGTATAGACAACATTGACACAGTGGAGTATAGACAACATTGACACAATGGAGCATAGACAACATTGACACAGTGGAGTATAGACAACATCCACACGGTGGAGCATAGACAACATCCACACGGTGGAGTATAGACAACATCCACTTGGTGGAGCATAGACAACATTGACACAGTGGAGCATAGACAACATTGACACAGTGGAGTATAGACAACATTGACACAGTGGAATATAGACAACATTGACACAGTGGAGCATAGACAACATTGACACAGTGGAGTATAGACAAAATCCACTTGGTGGAGCATAGACAACATTGACACAGTGGAGCATAGACAACATTGACACAGTGGAGCATAGTCAACATTGACACAGTGGAGCATAGACAACATTGACACAGTGGAGCATAGACAAAAACCACTTGGTGGAGCATAGACAACATTGACACAGAGGAGTATAGACAACATTGATACAGTAGAGCATAGACAACATTGACACAGTGGAGTATAGACAACATCCACTTAGTGGAGCATAGACAACATCCACACAGTGGAGCATAGACAACATTGATACAGTGGAGTATAGACAATATCCACTTGGTGGAGCATAGACAACATTGACACAGTGGAGTATAGACAACATTGATACAGTAGAGCATAGACAACATTGACACAGTGGAGCATAGACAAAATCCACTTGGTGGAGCATAGACAACATTGACACAGTGGAGTATAGAAAACATTGATACAGTGGAGCATAGACAACATTGACACAGTGGAGCATAGACAACATGGACACAGTGGAGCATAGACAACATTGACACAGTGGAGTATAGACAACATCCACACGGTGGAGTATAGACAACATCCACACAGTGGAGCATAGACAACATTGACACAGTGGAGCATAGACAACATTGACACAGTGGAGTATAGACAACATTGACACAGTGGAGTATAGACAAAATCCACTCGGTGGAGCATAGACAACATCCACACAGTGGGGTATAGACAAAATCCACTCGGTGGAGCATAGACAACATTGACACAGTGGAGCATAGACAACATGGACACAGTGGAGCATAGACAACATTGATACAGTGGAGTATAGACAACATTGACACAGTGGAGCATAGACAACATTGACACAGTGGAGCATAGACAAAATCCACTTTGTGGAGCATAGACAACATTGACACAGTGGAGCATAGACAACATTGACACAGTGGAGCATAGACAACATGGACACAGTGGAGCATAGACAACATTGACACAGTGGAGTATAGACAACATTGACACAGTGGAGTATAGACAACATCCACACGGTGGAGTATAGACAACATCCACACGGTGGAGTATAGACAACATCCACTTAGTGGAGCATAGACAACATTGACACAGTGGAGCATAGACAACATTGACACAGTGGAGCATAGACAAAATCCACTTGGTGGAGCATAGACAACATTGACACAGTTGAGTATAGACAACATTGATACAGTAGAGCATAGGCAACATTGACACAGTGGAGTATAGACAACATCCACTTAGTGGAGCATAGACAACATTGACACAGTGGAGTATAGACAACATTTACACAGTGGAGTATAGACAATATCCACTTGGTGGAGCATAGACAACATTGACACAGTGGAGTATAGACAACATTGACACAGTGGAGTATAGACAACA